GCGAAAGGGCGAAAGGAAAAGGTGAGAGATTGGCAAAATGCGGGAACTCGGAGAACAATTCTGGAGAAGCACTTGAACGAATTGGGATTGAAAAAAGTCAAGATCTATTCTGAAACATTCACTTGACATTGGGGTAGAAGGCATGTGTGGTTTTGATTTCTTTTTTTTTTGAATCTGTTTTCTTCCAGATCTATGTATCCATTATATCTGAAGTATTGTACATGGAGTTAGTTACCCTCTAGATATAGTACTTTCACATAGAACTATTTACAAAGCTAACTTTGAAACGCCCCCAACTTGTATCTTTTATGACATAATTGTATGGTCCGAAGATCTAATTATGGACTCTAGGATTCCCATCACCCACCTTACATACCCTGTGCAGTCTGCAGTCTGATCTAAAAACGCTTGACAAAGAAAATTTGATTTCCTGTAGATTTCGTCCCTATAGAAACCAGGTATGCAGCCACAGATTCCAGTCCACTTGGATCGAAGGATGAGAGGTATCTCCCCGGAGGTATGCTCTGCCGGAAGCAGTTATATGGTTTCTGGACAGTCCTCAATCCTAGGAAAGATAAAAGAAAGAAAAAAAAAGGGGGGAGGAGGGATAGGAGAAACGGGAGAAAAACAAGCATTCGAGATGTTTATCTAACAAGGTGGAGAGAAAAGAATGCTTGTTTAGGTCCGGTACTAAGCTTGAAGCCCTACCCCGTTTCGAGATTCCCATCTGAAGAGGATTTTCGAACGTAACTTCAAAAATCCATACATTCCTGAAAATGCACATCAGGAAGGTCTTGAAACAGGGAACTATACCCAGAGGCATACCGATGTGGTCACGGGTATGTGAGCTCTTCGACAAGATCTAAGCCAAGGACGTTAGATCCCACTCCACACTGAAACATTTCGACTCAAAAAGAGGTTGAGCTGATGATAGAATGGTGAGGAGGCGGCGACGATTAGTACGTAACTGCTCAAAGGGCTTTTTTAAAAAAGTGCTCTCTATAGCTGATGATGATGATGATGATGATTATTACTTTTTTTTTTGGCCAAGGGGAATCCCTGACCTTTGAATCTTTTCCTTTCCCAACAAATTAGTTCTATTAACTGCCAATCTTATAATCAGACATATTCAGACATCATCCCCCTTCCCCTCCCCCTATTTGGTGACTTGCGGGGCGATTCGTTGTCAACCGCAAACGGTCACCTTGTTCCTGACCATTTTACCCGCCTCTAAAAAAACAAGGAACCTTCCGTCTTTTTGTCTTCTCTCAACCTCACCATGCCGTTCTTCAAAGACCTACGGCGTCTCTCAAAGGTTAATTTTCACAAGACTCCATCCCAAAATGTGGAGGAAGTCTCCGGCTCATCATCTACCATCGACTCTGACAACTCCATCACTCCACCGTTATCGATCCGACCAACTCTGTCAACCCCCAATCTTCCTGCTCTCAATGAATCCGAACCCACCAGCGCAATCAGCGCAGTGAGCGCAGTCAGTTTAGCCCCGCCTACGCAGCGACCGGGGCCTCTGGTGGGCAATCGAAACAGCATTATTGTACGTACCCCATGCTCATTCCCGTGACAACTAACGATACTGACTCTGATCGCTTTGGGATACAGGGTAGCAGCTCCTCCTCGGTCAATGGCGCGTACCGATCACAAGCCCCTGTCTCGCCTTACGCCCCGAGACTGGTCTCCGTGGCTGATAATTCATGGGTATGTTTGCCTGTACAGGAATTGGAGACAAATACAAATGATGGTTTGTGGTGAAATAAAATCGAGTGTCTGACTGTCGTGCAGGTCAACCAGAAAGTGTTGCTCGTGTATGGGCAAATCAGCGACCCAAGGCAGCATCCGCTGGACGGAAACGTCACCGTCCATCATCAAGATAATTTCCCGTCGACCTGCTGGCCAGTCACGGCATCGCATTTTAAAGTCCTCGTTCATCTAGTTCCCGGTCCGAATCGCCTTCGCTTTGACTTTGTCTCGCCAAAGTTGTCCACGGGCAGCACCCACCCCGCCATCCACTCCTCCTGGATTTGCATCAACTACCTTCCTCTGGCCAACAACCCGCCATTGCAGCTAGTCATCCTCCTGGGGAAAGATTCGGACGGCACCTACGATGCAGTACCGGAAAGGGTAGAACGCGAAGGAAACGGGTTGGAAACGGCGATTCGAAAGTACCGCATGGCAGCCTATCTCTGGCAGGCCTTCACTGGCGAACAGATGTTCCGCAACAATTTCGGACGGCGTTGTTTCCGATTCGAGGAGGAGTGGCAGTCTGGTAGCTTAAGCCGTCGTGACTTGGCCCATGGCCAGATGCGAAATGAGGCTAAGATTCACGTGGTCCGCACTGAGAAAACAGTGGCCGAACTTCGAGATCTGAATATCGCGCAACAGAATGAGAAAGCCGAGAGGAAAGACGAGCTTTTCGCCATTGCTAAAGAAGCAGTGCGAAATCATTTCCAGCCTCAGCCTGGTCAGAAGCAATACGTCGCCGTTCTTCTGCTCGATTCTCATTGGGATACCCAATCCCAGATGATCACCGGCCATGCAGCTTTAGGGTCGGCCGACGACGATATCAAAATGGCCATGTTCGGCTCTCACTGCCTCCAAAGCTATCCATCGTGTCTTGAAGAAGTCGTGGATGCGTTCACAGACTGCACCCGCACGGATACGAACCATGTCGCCAATGACTGTGGCGACGCGGGCTCCACTTGGGAATCAGCTATCCTGGGCATCGGTGCTCACTTGCACGAGGTCGGCCATCTCTTCGGATGTCCTCACCAGGAGTCGGGAGTCATGCTTCGTGACTACGTGCATTTGAACAGAACCTTCCTGACCCGAGAGCCGTTCTCAACGCGCACAAAAGCTCAAGGGTTAAAGGTGTGTTTGCCCAACGACGAGTGTAGCTGGCACCGCCTCGATGCGCTACGCTTCCGATTCCACCCCAGCTTCCGACTCCCAAGTGACCCTGCTCCCCCTTCGGACAACAGCGTCCAGGTATGGCCAGTCGAGAATGGCAAGATCTTGTTCACTGCTTCGTCGGGGATTGCATTCATAGAATTATATGCTGAGGGTGATACCTTCTGCAACACCTTCATTGAATACTTGAACAGCGAGTCAAGCCCCAACGGACTGCCCCGACAAGTCGCCGTCACAGAGATTGAGCTTCGCCAACGTGTTTATGGCACCGAAAAGGAAAAGAAAAAGAACATTCGTATGGTTGTCTACTCTGGTGCACTAGGGAGCTACACTGTTGAGAACATTGGCGATCTGAAATCGAAAAATTCTCTCGTCAAACTGCCCAAAAGCCAGTCCGGTTTCAAAAGTGGCAGATTAGGCCAATCAGCAATGGAAGGCAGTGAGCCAGAGCAGGTTTTGCTGGAATGTGCCTTCATCAAAACAAAACTCTTGACATCGATCAAAGTCTACCATGGCTATGCAGTTGATGGTATCGAGTTCTGCTACGAAGACGCGACCAGTCAACTATTCGGCAAGCGAGGGGGCAAACCTGGTGGTGATGAGTTTGTCCTTGATACTCGACGCAGTGAAATTCTCCTTGGGTTCTATGTCCGGGCTGGTCTCTGGATTGATGGGATCGAAATTCTCACGAGCCTTGGGAGAAAATCCGGTATCTATGGAAATCCGGCCGGTGGCTCCGGGTCTGTATCCTCTTTCATCCTCTCACGATATTTGCAGCACGCTAACCAACTTCATGCAGCCACACTTTGATACCTCCTTTGGGCTACAAGATTGCTGGAATCTCCGGCTCCTGTGCATCATGGGTTGATGGATTCTCATTGATCATCCAGCATTGATAGCAATTCGCTGTCTACCACCTTCCTCCTCCTCCTCCTCCTCCTCCTCCTCCTCCTCCTTCTTCTTCTTCTTCTTCTTCTTCGTCGGCTCTTGGAGCCCCTCGTCCTCATTTCCATGCCTTGAAACTAGCCAAACCCCCGGTTAGCCATCGTACAGCATGGTGGACTACAAATGACTGCAGGACATCCTCTTCCTCTATCTCCTTTTAATCGGCTACTAAGCCTTGCATTTTCTTGCATCTTTTTCCCTCTTTTCATCCCTAGTCTGGGGATAGACAATTCTGCGCCCCGGAACCGGCCCCTGGTCACTACATACACGAGGTTCTGTCGGATTCTGTCTGTGTCTATATGGTTTCTTTTTTTTTATGTTCTGTCACACATTGGCGTTATTGGGTATGTTCGGTTTGCATGTATGCATGGTAAGTTTTTCTTCGACCTTCAGACGCGGTCGATACCGGTTCCGGGTGGATGGAACTACACGTACTGGCAATTGCTGAGCATCCCGATGGCCACCTAACATTACCGGCTCACTTTGTAAAGGGTTTATCTTTCATATTGGTTGAATAGTTCATATAGGGTAATGCCATGAAACCACCGTGAATGTTCAAGAATCGCGAACCAAGAATAAACAAGGCGAACTGGGTAAGACGTAAAAAAAACAACCCTACCTTGTCGTAACAGTGTAACTCGCTGGATACCGACCGTTCAGAGGTTACCCCCCCAAAAGGTAGGCTTCAATACGACATAGCTGGAGTGCTCGAAGGTGTTTCTCGCATGTGGCAAACTTGTATCCTAAACACAAGACTAAGCCCAGATTCAGAAAGTTCGAGCCATGATCAAAAAAAGCAGTCCCTAAAATTGGGCAGGAGAAGATTACAGAGGCGTCGAAATACATGATGCAATGTGCGTGAAATTGTTGAAGCTAAGAGTAGATGATGGAATCTGACAATGTACCAATACTTTTATGTAGAGATGTCGATGTTTTGTTTAGTTGACCAACCGTGCTAGGCGCCTGATACTACTAGGTTTTGGTGCGCCCTAGTTTATCCCCAATTCTCACCAGGTACCTAACCTACCAATTATGTTTCTATTATCTAACTTATCCATTTGAAAGATGCTCAAGTGCCTCCTAGACACACTGCAAATTTACTTGAGTCTCTAACTAGTTAAGGAAGTCATCACAGTATGTATATTTATCGTACAAAAGAAGTAAAAGGTTCGACACGGAGTATTAAGTGAACTGAAGGAAAGAAAGCACCCAGCACTTGTGTTGCTTCATCTTTTGCATTTTTTTAATGAATTGCTCTCTTTCTTCCACATTAGATGTCGAGAATCAATACTAGCTTTTAATTAGTCAAGCTAGACCTATGTTCTCAAGACGTACTGTTTCTTAGTGTCCAAGTATCTTTTATATGGGTCAGTCATATGAACGATACCTTATCTGCGGGTTAGGGATCGGGACATTCGAGATCTACTGGGGCGCACCAAACCCGTATTGGGCGCTTGGCATGGTCATTCTTCGTTGTACAATGTATAGGCCTGCGATTTGATGATCACTTCACAACTTTCTATTAGTCTCGTTCTCATCAACGGGAGCTTTAGCCAGCCAATCTGGACCATGATCGTTCCCCCGTTTTCTGAGGAGCGAAAGACAAGATGGCACAAGGGCCTCACCAATTTCTCGGGACAGAGCTCGTCATATCAGAACCTCACAAACTCGGGCCGGGGACCCGGGGAACACTCGATACGTTAACCATGGATCCTAGGTAGATGGGTAAAAAAAGGTCTTCAATTTCTGAAAAATGGACAGGGCCAGGGCTGGACCTCGTCATAGAGTAGCAACTAACCAACAAATTATTGAGTTTTCTTAGAGAGATTTGACACATCAATCCCGAATGCATTGGTCCAAAGTACATTATTAGCTCATAACTCACGAACGTCTCATTCGTGCTTGACTTGGGTCTAAGTGGAAACCCATGTACGATTAGACTTGGAAAAATGCCCGTGGCTGATTTGCTGCGTAAGCTGTGCTGAGGCATTTCATTTATCAAAGAGCTCCAGATGCCTGGAATCACAGTGGCAAGACCGTTTGTTAGCCTGACTGGCTATACCAGCATCCACCACTGCAAGCCAGGGTAGATCGGTCCCTCTCCCAATTGCCGATCCACGATGTCCCCAAGGATTTGACTTTCTTTGGGGGGGGGTTTCTTTTTCCGATTTATCGACTCCGTTGCGCTGGGGTCTTGTGGATGGTCTAGAGTGGAGAATTCAGCCGCTTGCACACTTGCACCATTCGGCCAACTGTCCATACAGACTCCATCTACCCCTGTTGTACAATTTAACTGAAGCTCATTGATGTACCCCTGTGCGAATGATGTAATCGACTTACAATGTGCGGAGTAGTCTGACGAACGTTTCAACAGGTCGAATTGTACCACATACGCCGTACTTTATACTAGTAGCTCCTATCCCGATGCTTCTATCAAGACCAGACTAGCCAGTATTCTAGCGTATACTCCATACAGCTACCATTCCCGTCTGATTCGAGTGAAATTATAGAGTACAATAACACAGATGAGAATTACACTTCCGACTTGAAGGCGGGGGTGGGGTTTCTTTTCTAAAACGGTCGATGTGGCCTTCCCAGTGCAGCCGCAATTGTTTGGCCCACATCCCTGCCAGATCACCGAAAACGTCTCTGTCTGATCACGTGGCTTTCGCTGCTGTCAGAATAAATTTGATCTCGGGGAGAAAAGCCGTGACGTCAGCTCTAACTGAATCCGGGATTTTTTTTTTAAAAAAAAAAGTGGAGATGGTGTCACTAACAAGCAATAAAAGCCCTCTAATTATATAAGGTGGTGGGTGGAGACTGGTGTTCGGTTATTCGAGGACGGTTGTTTGTACTTGTGTTGTTAGGCGTTTTAAAAATGAGCCCGTGAGCCTGGGGTTAGCTTCATACGTAAGACTAGTAATTTGCAACTTTTGGAAACGGAAAGACTCCGTGCCTAAGATTCAATAACTTAAACTGAGAGCTCGAGTAAGGTATGGAGTACGGAGTACTTCGTACAAGGTAACATTCCAACACACGGCATCCATGCTCAAGTTTACAGCACGTGCTCTGCCGATCCTTCAAGCACACATTGAGCAATATAACTGGTGGGTGCTCCTTCCAGCAATGAGCTGTGTTTGACCGACACGGTTATGACATGGTATGTACCTGTATTTCATTGTATCGATGGCCACATGCCTTACAGTCCTATACCTAGGTGGTACCGCCCAAGTATAAATCACTCATCGGAGACCATATTGAAGTTACTAGTAGCTTTCAACAACCGTGGAATAGCTAGAACACACAACCTACACTCTTTGCTGCAATGTTCACACACACCATGAGAGAAGCCACTTGTCAATCAAGCTGTAGCCCTCATTCATGGGTATCCTTGAGCCGCGAGAGACCGAAGATGAGATCATCAATAAAGAATTCAAATGTTTTAGGCAACACCGAATCGATCAATTGATAAATTCCCGGGCTCAACCAATGGTTTCTAATGGAACATCTTATGATCAACCGAACAATATCAGTTTGGATGTAGATCCGGTTGGGCCGGTCACCTATCACGCCCGATTACCAGGCATTCACCGCTCCACACGCCTTCGCGGCTGAAGTACTTTATACGTTGTACAATGTGCACACTAGTATGAGATCAGGCGAGATACATGGCTAGGATTTTGACACATTCGCAGCCTCCAACAATGAACCATGGTAATCGTTGCATCACAGACTAAGTCGTTACTCGAGATGGGATCTGTTTTACTACTTCGCCTAAGAGCATGACATGGTAATTCTTAATAAGCCAAATTACCTAATTAGAACGGGAAATGCTTCCAAGGTTCCTTCACAAGTACCTGTGGACGTGAGGCATCTTGGGAAAACTCTATAAATACATCCGTTGTGGGGATATATAAATCACCATTCAATCGATGTCCATAACACGAACCGTAGGTGTTGCTTGCCATGAATGGAGGACTTTAGATCACTTAGTGCGGACACGATGCCAGACATGAAATATTCAGTTAGCCAAAGAAGAACACGATCTATATTTTTCAACTACATAGTTACTGCATATAATGGTGAATCACAGCACCTGATACGCCGATGGTGTATCCAAAATAGAAACCGTGCTCCGTACTAGTCAAGGGATGAAGATGATACCGTAAGTTTACAACTTCGTTCTCGCTTTTGTTTCCCCCACTGTACCTGCACGGCTTTCCGTAGCTCAGTAACTACTCCATTTCAAAGTTTTCTCCATAATTTATTTCCCTTTGCCAATCACTACAATCGATTTGATCGTTCAACTACTTGAAGTCTTTTGAAGAAAAAAAAGAAAAAAAAAAAAAAGGAAAAGAGGAAAGCAAACGCCTCTTACCATTAAAGTGGCCCCCATGTTCTTATCAGTTTCTCCCAGGTGGCGACAGCTTTCCTCCCTCCCGAGATCATCTCTTAAAATCTTCCGAGCACATCCAATGGACCCCCCTTTTTTGTTCAAAAAGTCCACTGTGGCTCAGTGACAGTTTTGTGGGATCCTTTATACAACTTTCATTGGAGGGCTTCATCAACCGTACCATCCTGGTTATTTCCTCCCCTCCCTTTAAACATCGTCATCTCCCCTCCTTCCACCCCTCGTCTCTCCAATTAGGTACATCGTATCCTCCAATCTGCTATAAGAAGGATAATTACTCCGGAAACTCACTCCACTACTATTTTTACCAACTTGTTTTGGACTTTTACTTTTTATCTACCTTCACCGTTTTGATCTAGTCCCGCGATCTTCCGTTTCATTCTCTTCTGGTGTACTTCATCTGCAGACCGATCTAGTCGTTCGCGCACCCGGAAATTCCACTTAGAACCTTTCTCTTGGCCAGTTTTGTTGAATCTCAAATTACCCAATCCTGCGTACGACACCCGAACACTCCTCAATATCGTGTGACCGACCAGACAGCATATCTAGCCCTACTGGCAGTGGACCACAATTCACTGGGGGTTTGTATCTTTCCTTCACTATTCCGGGCCGATCAAAGCATTGATCAAATTAAGAATGTTCAACAACCGGTGGGTCTTTTTCTACACTGGATTGTCGATGTTGTAATGGTTCCATCTCTTACGTATTCCTTTTGTGCAACAGGAGAAACGCCCAGAAGCCGGATGGTGAGTTCATCAGTCGTTTCCAGCAAGCATTCTCCGACATTGTCCCTCGACGAGACAGTTCGAGCCCGCTCAATGTGAGGGCAGCGGAACCTGTGATGGCCTCGAGGTGGGTATATCATGATGTTATAAAAAGGAAAAGAGACGGGGTTAGAACTAACCAAAAAAAAAATCTAGATTGGCTGAGAACAACGATGCGAAAATAGAGAATCATGACCTCAAGTTTCCCATCACCAACAACGAGCGCACTCCCCGAAATGCGCACGAACTGGGGCTGACGCCCTCATGGATGGAATCCGCTTCATTTGCCATGATGCCTCTCGCCAACCAGCACACAGGCTTCTATACTCCAAATTCTTCTGGAATGGGTGCCATGTTCCATAACCAGGCTGGTGATTTGCATACACCAACAGGGATGCACTTGATGACCCCATTGTCGGGCATGCCAGCTGTACACAATCATCACAGCATTGGCTTTGAGCCCTTCCACCCACATTTTATGAATCCAGTGCCTGACATGAACCTATACACACAACAGCAGTCATTTGCACCAAGCGCATTTATGCACCGCGACAGCGGATATGACGCCATGGATGATACACTCGATGACTCCTCTCTAAATGATGTACATGTCGAAACAGCATCTAACGTGACTGCCTCCACGGAATTTTCGGCTCAAATGACTGGTGACATCTCCTATACTAAGGGGGAAAAGTGAGTCAAAACATCTGAAAGGTAAATTTCTACCGAATACTAAACGCATTCTACTCTATAGATTCCGCTTCAATGTTTCATTACGAGCACCGACTGCCATGGTGAAGAACCTAAGCGAAATTCCCGTGACTTATCTTAATAAGGGCCAGGCATACAATCTCTCAGTTATCGACACGAACTCACCAATGGCCGACCACGAACCAATTCGATACAGAACATTTGTCCGTGTTTCCTTCGAAGAGCGAGAACAAAGAGCGAAGCCGTCGACATGCTGGCAATTATGGAAGGAAGGCCGTGGAACGACAGAAGCCCATCAACGAGGTGGAAAACTCTTAGCTGTTGAATATGTGGATCCCTTACAAGGTGGTAGTGATGCGCACCGAAATCGACAGGTACAAGTGGAGAGCATGTCAGTCGACGGTTTCTGCGTCACATGGACTGCGAACCCAACGACCGGCGCATCGGATTGCAACATTCCCGTGCGGTTCAATTTCCTTTCCACGGATTTCAGCCACTCAAAGGGTGTGAAGGGAATTCCTGTCAGACTGTGCGCCAAAACCGAGCTTTTATCGCCGGGCGAGGAGACGGGTCTCTCGCGTGATACAGAGCTCTCCTACTGCAAAGTCAAGCTTTTCCGGGATCATGGCGCTGAGCGGAAGCTGTCCAATGACATCGCGCATGTCAAGAAGAGTATTGATAAGCTTAAGCAGCAAGTCTCTCAGGCCGAAATGGGTGGTGGATTTGCGAAGCGCAAACGGGGAAACAACGCTTCGGCTACTGCGAAGGGATCTGATAATCCCATGAAGTCTTCGTCCCACAGGCGAACTTGGTCGATCGGGTCAGACGATGTTCCTCCCGAGAAAGCTTCCTTGGAGGATGATCTTCAAGCCAAGCTGTCTATGATGCAAGAGATGTTCTCATCTACTCGGTCAGTGAGCATATTCGGTCTACGCGGTGATGCATTCGATGATCCCGACCTATATCCCATTCAGCTATCCGGTGATGGCGATCCCCCTCACTATGCGAACATGAGCCGTTCAAGCACACGCGAATTGGAGTCAATAATGCCTTCGCCGCCCAACACCAATACCTCTTCTTCGAATTCGCCGCCTACCCAAGCTCTCCGATTAGCAAAGTGCCCAACCACCATCCAGAGGATTCCTTCTGGCAGCCAAGTGTCAAGGGGTTTCATAGAGGCGGTGGGTGTAGACTTGACCTACCGACCTCCGGCGGAACGCCCTCCCAAACCAAGTAAGTTTTTCGAGCGCAATTCCATCTGTAATCGAATTTGTTTCCTAATTAAATCCACAGTTGCATGCTTTTATGTTCGATTCACTGGAAATGAGAAGCGTTCAGAGGACTACTACCGTGCAATCTATTTGACGGAACGCACCGTTCGAGACCTCGTGAGGCAAATTACCGAGAAATGTCACATTAATCCCATGCGGATCTCAAATATCATGCACGCCCACGAGAAGGGCATGCGAGTCGTCGTTGATGACGATGTGGTCCGTCAGCTTCCAGAGGGTCAAGACATGATCGTCGACATCTCCGAAGCACCGGATCCCAATGGCAGTGCTTCCGGCACACCCATGGAGATCCAATTAACTTACTAAACCCGCATCGCATATCTCAAGGCCATGCCTTCACCTCCTGAATTCGAATATAATGCAACATTAACTTTCCTCTTCGATACGCCTCATTCCACCTCACTAGCCACTGTGGTCTCTCCACTCTGGTTTGCAGCATACAAGCTTTCCATCTTGAGTGCATCGGTTGCACTGGTGTTGTTTTGCGGGGAATTTTTTTAATCTACTTTCTCAATGGGCTGGCATTCATTTTCAAAAGGGGCGCTGAACACGGGGATAATAAACGAGTCTCCGAGCAACGATACCCTGTTATACTACCTTTTGCCTTTTTTGACCTCTTTTTGTTCAACCTTAGCGTTGCTCACTCACTTCGACGGTATATGAGTCGATGGGCTATGGGAAGCATTGATATCTTTGTCTGTTTGTTATGGTTATTATTTCGATTTGGTCGAGGGCCGAGCATACGACGTTGATACCCTATTCCATGTTTGGTTTTCCTGATCTTTTTATCCCACATTAACCCTCTTTCTAAATTTTCTCTTTTTTTTTGGCGGGACGCTGGTTGCTGGTTGCTAGTTTTTAGCAGTCTTGAGCGCTCGACTTTTTCTGCGACCGTTATCCATGTCTCATGTCTGTGCATCTATGCAGGATGTGGATCAGTTGATCTAGACAAGACGCCTGAGGACGGGACTACAAGTCAGCCACTTTGATGCAAGTGCAGAATACCATGACTTTGCTACCTCCATTATGATCTTTACATAAGAAGCTATATCTTCAACCCTTGGTAGCTCAGAAGAACCTTGGAATCATCATGCGTTAATTAATTGTTGGCATTGACCGCCATTAACCGAGCATGATTGACATCCGCAACCCCCAAATCGGGTTGGTGCCAGTCATGCAGAAAAGACAGGAAAGTGAATGCATCAGAGTCCACAGATTATTCCACACCAACCCAGTGGAACGTTGTAGCTTTAGCCCCCCCCCCCAAAAAAAGCCATCAACCTTGAACACAATCCCCAGTTCCCAGGAACCTGGTAGAGCACTGTAGACAATTCCCGAGATCACTGGTTCAGCGAAGATCCTGGGGTCCCATGGGCCACTGCTTCGGGTTTGTTTATAAGTTCTGATTGGATGGGTCCCTGCCCCAACCTGTCAGCCAACCAATGCTCAGTCTTCCCGCGGGTCATGATTTAGACCACCTTCCATATCGAGACACCGAGGTTCCAGATCGAGAACCCACTGCAAGATCGAATAGTACAAGCTTTGACTTTTCTTCCCTCTTTTCTTCCGTTAGTAATCGAGGCTTGCGACGCTTAATATCGGTTGCACTGCAGATGTTTCACTTTCTCTTTTGCGTTGTGATCTTCGCATTCCGAGAGGATTTGGATGCTTTTCGATATCTCCATGGCGGTATCAGGTCTGGAACTTTGAATACTAACCTAGTTGAGAATAGGAATTTTCAATTTTTTTACTCTCTATGGTGACTTATTCTTTTCGTCTCAGGTCACCGGTCAGTGCCATGTGTGTGTGAAACCTTGGTATAGACCTCGGACTCACCACTTATGGTAATCAGATTATAATCTCTAATAGGCCTCCCAAAGAACGTCCTGTCTATTTGGCAAGGGAAACATAGCCCTGAAGTTTCAGCGAGATTGCTGAACCCTAGATTTCAACATCTTATACGCTACAAATCCTCTTTCTGGATGTGACGAAAATCTGCAATGTATGCGTAATGTAGTGGTATGCAACTTTCTAAACCATGTAATATAATAAGTTCAATAGCCTTGTTGGCTTGGTGGGGAAGGCTTGGCCATATTTTTCCGATCCACCCTTGTGTTGAACATGGGTCTCCCCAAGCTTTTTTTTTACAACTCCCCGCGCTAGCCCCTTATGTGCCCGTGCGATCCTCGCCCATTCCTCAATCCGGTGTATCCAATCACGAATGAGAGCTTCAAAACGACCGGTTTCCTCAATAGGAAGTCCATACGCACCACGATTTAGAAAAACATAGGTTGATGGTAGAGCTCCCACAAGCGAAGGCTGTCTCGATAGCCCACGCTCTCGTCTTGCCGGCCACATACAACAAGTGTGGGTGCAAAGAGCTGTGCATTTTCCTTGTCCACCGAGGAAGATAATTGACATGGATTTGGTTCTGCTCGGACCGGACCCACCACCTTTTTGTCTGTTGCTTTCTGCACTAGAAGTTGGACCTCGGATTTTCCGCGTAGAATTTTATATAGGCAGGCGTTTGGACGAGAACATCCCAAGAAGAATCCTGTCTTCGGCTGTTTTGTTCAACATGAGTTCCTCGTTTGCAATCAAAGGGCTGAAAATCGGCTCAAAGTCGAGCTCCTCGGCTCTTCCATTCAGCTGCCATTCATGTATGATTAAGACGGGCAAGTCCTTTACTCTCATGCATCGATAGAATTGACTTCATTTAGTTACTGGGTAGTGCCTGAAGGAGGACGGAGTAATCCACGCAACCTGTTCAATCACAAGCACGCCATCTTGTGGTGCTGGGAAAAGGCTGCCCCTAAAGTAACTAGCACAATCCACTCTTAGCAGCAAGCCAATAAACATAAGCGATGCGACAGCCTTGCGTGTTCTAGATGCTTATTAACTAGTGCCAGTTACGAATCGAAGTCATGGATCAAGCTAACGTATAATGCGCAAGATTGATTGTGTCAAGCTTGTGAATCTTTTTAGGTATTTTCAAAGCGTAGTACTAAAAGGCTCCCGATACTAAGAGAGTCGAGCTATCTTCGATTACAGCTTTATTTATGACCTAGCCTTTTGGCACCCTCTACCGGTTGACCATTTTTCGATGGTACAACTGGATCAAGCATACTGCTTTCACTTTGTGTTGGAACCTCCTTCAAACTATGTGCTATGCAATGCGCTACATGGTAATCTGAGCGCTTATCATTTCAACAGCTGCAGACAGGGTGTGTCTGCAGAAGTTGAATCGTTTTCACATGAAGAGATTTGGTATTTTTGTCCATCATTCCCTTGCGTGATAAGAATGTATGTGGGGTGGAGACTTAAGATGGCATTCCGTTAGGGGAAAGGATCAACCTTATGTGGCGACAGCAGCCAAAATACGAGTATTGTACTACAGTACTTGTTGACGGCAGACCCAGACTCACACTCTTCAAAAGGTCAAAGTACAACACACAGTATTCACAGCCACAAATCTCACAATCTCATACTCCCAACACACACACACACACGTAGTATGATGTCATGATCCAGTTCCTTAAAAGCGGGGCCAAATTGAATTTCCACTTTGGTTCTTTTCTCTGCGCGGGTCGTCCCGCTCGGTGACCACTAGGTGACCATTCGGGTATAAGGCCTTTCGGTAACGTACCGCTGGAAATACTAGGTATGTACATGTATCTGTATCGACTAGTATTTTTGGTTTACAGCCGGTATTATCCCAACGTAAAAACATGCCGTTGGCCACTCTGACAAATTTCCTTGATTCGATAATTGTCTGTTCTTATTGTCCTTTACTGGGGGGGAGCGGGGGAACCATCTACTGGCTGGGCCTTCAATCGGCATTTGATGATTTTCAGAGCGGGTAACAGATTAGCTAGGCATGGCTTGTGGGTACTTCGTATCTACAGTATATAGACGTAACACTTAATTTAGATGTCATCTCATTGTCTACCATGAGATTGTGCATGCAAGGTTCAAATGACACCTATCCATGGTTGCGCATGTTGTAATTATGTTGTTGCACTTTCACCATAAAATCATGCCCTGAGTCGTGTCACCATTGCCCCTGACTTGATAGTCTAATGTGGAAAGACCATCCTCCGCACCGATACACGGTTGATGCTCAAGTAAAAATAGAACCACATTCTAGACTTGCTGATAATCAACAACTTGACGGCTCAAGTGATGTTCCACTTCTACACTTTACCTTCTCGCAGTGTTTGACCTATATTTAGGTTGTTATGCCAATGATCATGGTTACTTCCAAGCTTATGAAAGTAAAGATCCTTGCAATGTTTTTTTACTTTGTCTTATATTGAAACTTAGTTCGGAATATCCATGGTCTCATAATAATAGACAGCAAATGTCTGTTTACCTTTGTAGTTTTGATTATGTGGCACATGGACTATTGTCTGTGATACCCCAGTCTCTCTATGGAAATAGTTCTGTTCCTCCGAGAATTCTGGGGGCCTGATTTTGGGGTGATCTCTATGCCAAAGCCGGACATAGGGTCCTAAACTGTAGCCCACGACATGATTCTACTGAACGAAACCCCCGGATATTAGGCAAAGGGTCTTTTTCTTAACATCTTCAGTCAACGAACTAGATATAGCCTGTCTCACTCAGGTCGTACACCTACGGGTGCCGGTGTATCCAGTTTAAGGTTCTATCCTAGTTACACGCAGAGGTGTGCTCAAATTCTATCCCAGGAGGACTGGCCCTACCAAGTACCTCACCATAGCCGGAAGTGACAGTTGTGACTTCCTTGTACGTTTGCCTCAAATTGGGAAGGCACAAAATCAGAAACCAGCATCTGCACGTGTCCCCCGTCACGGTCAGCGTGCTTCCCTCAGGTGGTGACTTTGTTTACTATTTCTTCCTCCCTTCTCCCTCTTCTCTTTCTCTTCTTTTCCGTCCTCCACTCCACCTTCGTTTCCCCTTTTCTATCTTCACCTTCGTTTTCATCGATTGCTTGGTTCATCCATCAAGTCATCACTGCACATTCGTTTTTTAATCTCCATCATCGCCAGGATGGTAGCTTGGACGCGCTTCAAGTTGCTTCTGGCCATGGTCACCACTCTGGTGACCATGGCTGCTGCTTCGGCTGGTACACATCTTGGCTCATAACTCTCTGTATTGCAATCACCTACTGACCTTATCACCGAGCAGAGTGCCACAACATCGAAACGGTCCTTCTTCAGGACCCCCACACTGGGGAGCAGTACCAGTTTGGCGAAGGTAAGTCAAGCTCACTGTTTGAGTCCACTTTTGAATCTGCGCTCATACTGATCAATCTCTATAGTCGATGTTTTGCCTCAGGCCTTGTTTGGTCGTGCTGTCTATGCTCATGAACTTGGTAAGTCCAGGCTCCTCATCTTCCATGCGGGGATTTTTTTCTTAAATTCTTGAACCTTTCTGAGACCAACAATTAACTTAACACTAGTCACTGTTACGGTTACCCATACTACTTGCGGTCACGAGGAACCGACCATGACTGTCACCACGGATGTTCCTTGCACCACTGACCACTCGTCTACTACTCCTGTCCCGGATCAGGTAACTACCCCTGCACCTGGCTTTTCTCAGTCTACTGCGCCCACTACTTCCGCGATCCCGGTGCCTTTTACCACTCAGACTTTTGTGTCCAGTGCCCTAGAGGTGTCGTCTCAGTCGACTGCACCGGTTTCCTCCCAGACTCCAGTACCTGTCACCACTACCCAGACTCCAGTGTCCAGTATTCCTGAGGTGACCACTCAGTCATCTGCGCCTGTTGTCCCTCACAGCTCTGTCCCTAGTGCTACCGAGGTGACCACCAAGTCTTCTACGCTCAGCAAAACCCGGACTTCTACGCCTGGCACCACTTTGGTGACCTCGCTGTCTTCTGTGCCCGGAACTGCTCAGACCCCAGTGCCCAGTACTACCAAGGTGCCCATTGGAAGCAGCTCTGTAGCCAACACTGGCTCCTCTACGGTTACTGCCACTGCTACCGAGTCGGTTTCCTCGTCTGGTACTAGTCCCACCAGCGTGGCTCCGGTTCCTGCCACCTCTGCTGAGCACTACACCAGCTCTACGATTCCTGGCACTCTTACCGAGGTAACCAGCGAGACGATCTCTTCACCATGTCCATCTCCCTCTGAAGCCTCTCCTGCTCCTGGTACCACCAAGATTCCTGGAACTGTTTCTGAAGTAACTACGGGGTCCATTACATCTTCTCGCCTTACCAAAGTGGTTCCTGTCCCTGGTACTACTGGAATTGCGTACACAAACTCAACTGTTCCCCAGGCTCCTAGCACTGTGACTGGTGTGACCACTTATTACACCACGTCACCTTGCCTCAACTCAACTGAGCTAGCTCCTACTCCGGTGACCACAGAAATCACCATCACCGTTGAGGTTCCTTGCACTGAGACCACCAAATGTGTCAGCACCAAGGTTATTACCACCAGCACTTCGCCGGTTTCAGAGACAACTGTTCCGGTTCTCTCTCGACAGCCTACTACAATCACCGAGATTCAGTCGACTGTTCCCGTTCCTGTCCCGGTTGCTACTGAAGAGGTCACTGTTACGGTTGAAATCCCTTGCACTGAAACCACCAAATGCATCAGCACCACGGTGTATACCACAACCCCTACGGAGACGACCACCATCTCTGTGACTCCAATTCCGGTTACAATTTCTACTCCATACACCCTCACTAAAGTTGTGACCACTGTAATCCAGCCAACTATCCCTGGTGCCTCTTCACAGGAGACCACCAAGACTGTGACTACTGTGGTTCAGCCCACTGCCCCTGTCCCCATTCTGCAGGAGACCACTGAGGTTGTGACTACTGTGGTCCAGCCAACTATCCCTGGTGCCTCTTCACAGGAGACCACCAAGACTGTGACTACTGTGGTTCAGCCCACTGCCCCTGTCCCCATTGTGCAGGAGGCCACCGAGGTTGTGACCACCAAGATCACACCGACTGAGTTGGTCCCACTTCCAGACTCCACCACTATGGAGGCAACTACGCTGGTCAAGGTCCCTGCTCCTCCTGCTCAGCAGGCCGCTACCACCGAGTCCAAGGTTTCGGTTGTGCCTCCCCAACAGCCTACCCACACCCAGGAGGAAACTGTCCCGCCATCTCCTCATGGTACATCTTCCAGTGGTACTCATACCCCTTCTCCTATTTTCAACAGTGCCAATGCCGCTGGAATCACGGACAGCCGTCTCTTCGCCGTGAGCATTTTGATTATGCTCTCTCAAATCTTCCACTGGATTCATTGAAAATGCTACACACTCTTGCCGTGTTAGGAGGCAAGTCCAGCTATCTTCTGACGTAGCATGGATAGTACCTGATACACCGATTGTGTTTGCGATCGAATCTGAGGAATCCACGGGTTTGATAGGTGACAGTTTGTCTTTTCATGGGATGCAACTGGCTCCCCTTAATCTTGCAACTTTTAGTAGTGACTCATATTCTAGTTAAAGCATAGCTTTCCTAATTTCAAGAATGTTCACTATTTTTTTATGTCCAGTAGTGAAGCGATCAAACAATCTTATGTTTTGTGGTCTGGAACCAATTGGAAAGTCTTAGGATGAAAGAGTTGACCGAACAATGCATTCCGGTAGTTAGTTGTGTTCCGGCTGTGAAACGGACCTTACAGATAATCAGAACGTAGCATTATGACATATAGTGAGCAGTCAAAGCATTGAACATGACACACATATTTATCAAATGATTAATGCCTAGTGTGATGACCTCACATAATGGATGAATGCCTTATACCCAAACAATGGGTACAACAGCTTGGCTAAAAGCCAGGGTATCTCAGAGAAATAAGGAGAATACATAGTTATGTGCACATGGAGTATACACACAGGACAGACATAAATGGGTACAGATCTCCCTACTTCTAACAGAGCTCAAGCCTCAACCTCACCACCAAGGGATTCAATTTCTCTGGTTAGAGCACAGATCCGACATCCATCACCAATCTTGTCTCGCAGGATTCTTGCCGTCGTGACTTTGGGACCGATGGTACGAGATGCGGTGGCAGACCGGGCCTCGTCGACTGGAGACATGGCTCGGGGTGTAAGATCTGCAGATCGGTTACGGCTGTTCGTGCCGGATGTTTGCTGTGACTTTTCTGCATGTAAGTGGGATAGATGGAAAATGTGGCCACAAGCAAAGCCAACGAGGATTTCTCGCTCTGTAGCAGGGTTATGATTAGCTTTGTGTGTGTGTTTTTTTTTCCTCCGAGAATAGAAGATAGAATGAAGGTGGGTCAAATTTCATACCGTTTTCCCGGAAGGCGGCTTTGCAACCGCCGCATCTTCCCTGTCCAGGACCTCCGAATTTTCTCGCACCACTGCTCACAGACACTTGGTCTTGAGCTTGGGTCTTCGCAGTTGGTGTCTTATTGGAAGGTTCCTCTCTAGCATCGGTGATATCAAACTTGATTCCCCGGCGCTGACCTTTGCGCAGCGTGTCCATCCCAAGCGCAACTTCGCTTTGCATGACCCGAGCCGCGCCTTGGCTGATACTTGCCTGCAGATCGTGCTCACGAATCAAGCGAGTGAGACCCTCTCTTAGACCTTCAATCTCCAGCCCGCTCGGGATCCGACGCACAAGCTTTATCGGGTCGATGGCCGTTCCGGCCTCCACAAGAAGACCATGAATGAATTTTGGCTTGTCCATGGAATAATCAAGTAGGTCCTCCCACAGATCAGGATCATCCTGTGATTTTGCAAATGAAATGGCCTGTGATACATCCTTGAGATCCGATAGAATCAAGTTCAAGGCTCGTTTCGTCTGGCCCATCTTAGACAAGAGGAAAATCAACTCTGGCGTGAATTTGTGGTCTTCGCAGATGGATGTGGCTTTCTCGAATGAGTAAGATATGCTCGTTTGGAGGAACTCCATCAGGAGAGGCCGGTCGTAGTCCGCAAACACTTCAACGGCCGTGTCGGCAAAGTTATCGATCAGGGCTTTGCCTTCATCGGCAGCCAGCTTGCTGGCTGCATCCCGAGCATGAGTTCCACGTCCTCTTCTCAGCTTAGCGGCGCCGTGTGGTAATGATTCGCCTCGCCAGAGCGTACGGAGATAGAAATAAAGGAGAAGGAAGCGGTCTGCAGCGATCAACTGTGATACCACGATATCTGGGAGAACAATGCCCGTGTATGCTTCACTTACAAGGAGTCGCGTGGGCTCAGATGTCAATTCGTCCAGTTCAGATTTCGTGGCTGACTTCATTTGCTCTTTCGAAACGTGGATCATAATGAAGGCCGGTATATCATCAGTGACTGCGTCGAGCAAGCATTGTTCCCGAACCAAAGCCATAACAGCGTCTCCATCTTGCAATCGAATATAGCAACGCAAGGCTTCGCGGTAATGCCCTCCTACCAGGAACAACTTGGCGAGGCAATCCGTGAGAACCCGCCACTCTTCAGACCCGGTGCGCATTGACTCGGATTTTAATTGTTTTTCGATGGCTTCTGTGACCACATTCGCATCGAATAGATCGGATGGCCATATCCCGATGAGTTCTTTGAATTTGACCAAGTCTCGTGACACAAAGTGAGTGAGGATGACTTCATAAATCCGGGAAGACAACGATGGATTTAAGTCAACCGGGATCTGTGAAGTGATCTCTTCGATTTTGTCATTCTTGATAAAGGTCCCTGCCCAGTGTTCCCATCGTGCGGCATTGCGAATAACTTTTCCACAAATACTCGCAGCGTCGGCCCACTTCTCTTCGCTAACAAGTTGGTTGACCCAAAGTTCACCAAGGCGAGCCTTTTCTTGTTCAGCAGCAGAAAGATTTGCTCGACCACCCATCGTGATAGATGATCGATCATCAGCAAAAAATCCACCCAAACTGGTTGGGGACATTCCTCCAGTCTCGGAAGCAACTTCGGTTAGGTCAGGTATCGATCCCGCAGCTTCGGGATGTTCATCGACGAGACGCCATGCGTCCTCGTACTGGCCATGAGAGTCAAGCCAAGACAAACGGTCAGCAAGGTCCCTTTTTACTGCAACGACGCAGTCATATGGGCTGTGGACAAAGATCTTCGCACCAGGCGCACCTGCAACTTCCTGTACCGCCTTCGGAAGGGCGTCTTCGGCCGCGTGGAGTTTGGATATGAAAGAGTGAGCAATTCTACCAGACCCCCTGTCGCCACTACTGGCGGTACTTCGGATGCTGGCCCCAGAGCTGAATAGCCGCGCCGAGTACATAGTAGCGTCCAAAATCCCATACCCAAGAGCCCCCAGGGCACCGCGCTGGACGACTTGTCCCTCTGGAGTCTTCCACGGAGGCAAGACACTCAGATGATAATCAGACGCCGAAAGACCTTCGAACCGGTTTACTGAAAGTGTATCAGCGCTGACTTCTTCCTTAGTTTCAATGTCTATGACACGAAGTTCAGGTTCCAGGCCCTTTTTTCGATTGCGGGTTACACTTTCTCTTCCGTTGCTTGCAGTTTCACCGTCGGTTTCCATGTGTGCTAGGATGACAAGAAGACGAGGCGTGTACAATGAGATGCCAGATACCACGCAATCTGTTCGTAATCTGTGTTCAAAGTTAGCGATGAGCGATCCAGCCCGTGCGAGTTCTAGCTTACATTGTCACAACTTCTGCCGAGCCCAGCCTCTCGCCCTTTGATGTTTTGCTTGCCCTTTCGGGGTAGACATCAATGACCCAAACAGTTCCTCCCCAGCCGACGACCAGCTTTTCAACTTTCTCAGTGGGCACGTTTAACTGTATCTCTGGACTGGCTATATTGTCATTTGGGTCAAGATGGTCCCGACTGTCTAAAGCAAACTGGTCGATCCATTCTGCGCGTGCTTTCCAAACACCGGCCATTTCATCCCAGCCAGGACGATTTGGACGATCAATATGACTGATTCGTTTCCAGGCAAACTCCGTCTCTGAAAATTCCAGATGCAAATTTGACCGCATGATCTTAATGCCTTCCTCGTTGACCCAGGCCACGTACTTTCCTGAAAGCGACCATTTAATCGTGCTTATAGTCCCTTCGCCGCTATGGATGATTGTGTCTTTCCCACTATTGGCTGCCAGGCCCATAGACCCAAGCCAACTTGATGCTGTGGCAGCCGCGCCCCCCATTGTTGTAGCGTTTGAGGTCGCTCCAATCCGACCGCCAGTTGTCAGGACCAATTCACCCGCTCGGCCGCCCGATAGAAATGTCCGATCACTTTTGTACTCTGGAGACAAAGCGATAGACTGAACTGGGCGGCCAAAATTGCGCAATATCACATCCTTGGGGTCTACCAGCGACGAAACACATACATGGCCATCAATTGAGGAGGTTCCAATGTAAATCGAGTTCGATGGTATGGGAGCGACGGCTGAATGAGTGCCCACTTTTCCATAGCCACGGATACTGCCGGTGGTAGTCGATGCTCGTCTTAATGGTTTGAATTCCTCTGTGGCCTGCTTGTTGAAGATGTCTTGCTTGAGGTTCGGAAGAGGAGGCGGGAATGGTGATATCGATATTGAAGTAACGCTTGCTGAGTGTGCGTGATAGACACGGAGGGATTGCACAAGCGGCAAGGACATAACATGCTTGACAAGGTCAGCTCACTTGTCTGCGCGCTGGTGTGGCTAACTTACGACGTTCCCGTTGTGTGTCCCGACGATCTAGGCACATCGTTAGCTCACTGTATGATATAAGGTTCCGCTTAGAATGTATACCATTTTATCTCCGGCTACAAGGAACGAGCTTGTTGCATCCCCGTTGCGATATACTGATCCCAGGTTCTTCGTAAGGTATGCGTATTTGAGGCGGGGCTCATCGTCCTCGTCGTCCGAGTCATCCTCTTCATTGGCCTCTTCCTCTTCCTCTCCATCATCACTGCTACTAGAGTTGTGGTCATTGTCTCGTTGGTCCTTATCTTGGGCACCTTGCGTCATGTCTGTAGTTGGCTTCGTTCGTATGGTTGTGTCGTGCTTGGGAGTGCTCTGAACGGCACTTTCGTCCAGCGGTGTCGCGCCAGGCGCGTCCATGGAAAATCCCTCTCAGCACCCGCAGCTCCCGAGCTGGTTAAAGTGGAATGCGACAATCTGGAACCGATATTCTGTGGTTCTACAGTTGAGCCGGGGTAGGTCAGGGCCCTCCGGGGCCGATCTTGACTTCATGACTAAGCGGGTAATCGGGCCGCAGCCTGCAAAACGATGTCATCGACCAAGCCACTAGTGGTTTGTTTCCGAAAACACACAATGTCTGCCAGACCATTTGTCTGCATAAGTTGCAAGCGCCCATTGCTACGCCTACCTACGCGACCGCAGACCCAATACTTTCATTTCTCTCCTCCATTGGCACTTCCCCGACGGAAGGATTTCTTCTCATCTAATGCCCACTTGAAACTAAAACAGAATAATAATGATCAGCCAATTGAGCCCTCTTTGGATTTCCAGAAGCAACGTCGACGGGGGGCTAGATTACCAGCAGCTCCCACTTCATTGCGGCGAGTAGCAGTAGAGGCACAGAGGTCAAAGGACGGTATTCTCTCCAGGGCGCTCCTCAAAGAGCAGGGATTATATCGGACTAAGGTTGGCATATTACTGAGGTTTCCCACAAGTGTCTTTCACTGATTGTTTTCGTGACTCTAGACAGTGACCGCTTACGCCGTAGCCGAGCAATTCAACGTCCGCCAAGTCAGAGATATTTTGCAAGAACGAGGATATGAACCGGACCCATTGGAAACGGGCCTCTTCCCACAAGTCGTTCATGTTCAGATACCGTTGGACTCAATACAGCGCATGACGAATCCCTCCAGCAAAGATTTACCTTCCGACGAAGTGGGCGATCTATTTGTGTTTCCCTCCGGCACAGTGGTAGCGTGGTCGCTCCCAGAAGGATTCACATCATTCCTGGCAACACGAACTCTCTTGCCCGCAGCAGAAGGTGCCCACGTAGATGACTTGGAAACCGAGGATCTCGAATTTGTGGAGGATTCGAAGCGGGAGAACAGTGTCATTAAAGGGGACACAATTATACTAGGGACCAACTCTGGTCACGGAGATGCGAAGGGATCACCAGCGGCGCAACAATCCGTCGATACTGTATTGACCAAGGTTGCATTTTCGTCGGGTCTTGCTCGAAGTACGAAGTTGGCCGTCCTCGAGAGCCTTCTTTCAAACTATTTTGAATCGACTCGGCCAATTCCCACTCTTCTATCACAGGGATCCCGTCTTCCATTTACACGAGACTTTGTCCTCCGCAAGACGGGACAGTTACTGAGTGTCCGGGCGCAGCTCAATCTCTATTCTGAGCTGACTGATTCCCTTCCCGATATCTTTTGGGACAGCCGACACGAGCTCGGCTTGGAGGGATACTATGAGCAGGCTGGCAGAGCCTTAGATGTCGGAATTCGCATCAAACTGCTGAACGAGAAGATGGACTATGCGCAAGAGATCGCAAGTGTACTCCGAGAGCGCCTTAGTGAGACACATGGTCTCCGGCTCGAGTGGATTATCATTTTGCTCATTGCCGTTGAGGTCGGCTTCGAGGTACTGCGTTTATGGAGAGAAAGATTACATGAACAGGAGGCGCGCAAGCAGGAGACCTAGGGTCACCTGAGGCCAGAAATGACAGTCGCAAGGCCAATGAGGAGGTAATTTTACCCACCGTGGACCTACCAACTATGATACCCCTTCACTCTTGAATGTAAGAATACTATCCCAAATGACAATCAACTATAAAATAAGTGCGATATGAAACATGCCCGTGCAAGTAAACAAATCTCAGATGACCCTTGTCAGCTGTCCCCGCGCTTAGTCACGTATGACTCCGCACGAGGCGACTTCGACAGTACGCGGACAACCGTTGTAGCCTCCTGGGTATACATATCACTAGTCTGAACACGACCTTCCTAGTGCTTATCTACTTCTCTATTCCTATATTCTTTCTTTGCTTCAGTTCGATAAATCGATTCCCTAAGTTCACGACAAAAGGCTGCCATCGATGATGCGGGGATCATTTCAACAGTTCATGGGGTTCCCCGGACCCCAGAAGATCCTCAAGACCTTCGGCTCACTCTGGCTGTCGCAAACTGCAAACGAGAATACAAACCCTGGAGCTTTATCATCATGTCCTGTCTCGGAAATAAGTTGCCAAACCAATTACCACGGTCAAGACACCTGCTGTTTCAACTACCCAGGTGGTCAAATGCTGCAGACCCAATTCTGGGATGTCGACCCTGCACTCGGCCCTGAAGATGCATGGACTATCCATGGACTATGGTGAGTTTGCACCGCAGTCCCTGGTTGTATGAATATAAAACTAACTCTTCAGGCCCGATCACTGCAGCGGCGGCTTTGACCAATTCTGCGACTCCAAACGCAAGTACAGTAACATTTCTCTGATCCTGGTTGATGCCGGCCGGGGAGATTTGCTTGAATACATGAGCGAGTATTGGAAGGATTTCCGTGGTGATGATAGCAATTTGTGGCAACATGAGTGGAACAAGCATGGCACTTGCGTCAGCACTTTAGAACCAGATTGCTACGAGGATTATCTGCCGCAACAGGAGGTTGTGGACTACTTCGACAAGACTGTTGAAGCTTACAAGGAGTTACCTTCCTATGAGGTGAGTTTCATTCTCTCGATCGTTGGTTGACCATATTTTTATCTATTCGGTTCAAATCACTAACCATGCATCAGTTCCTGGCCAACGCTGGCATCATCCCATCTCAGACACGGACCTACGCTCTTGCCGATATTGAAGCTGCACTGGAACAAGCCCATGGAAACCCCGTGACGATCCGTTGCCGAAGCGGCGCCATCAATGAGATTTGGTACTATTTCAATATCGCAGGAAGTCTGCAGTCAGGAAAATTCATCTCTGCGGGCCCAGGTCGGTCTAAATTCAAAGTTACTCACTCTGGTAGATTGCAAGCTTATTTACATTACCAGATGGCCAGAAGTCTAATTGCCCCTCCAGGGGAATCAAGTACCCGCTGAAACATGCTCGGCACGAGCCTACCCAGACAACAACCATAGGTCACCCCGAGCCCACGGCACCAGGCAATCCGTTTGCAGGCCGAGGAAACTTGATTGTGGAGAGGCTTAACAGAAAGCATGGCTGCATCATCAGCTATGGAACCTGGTTTTCATCAGGGACCTGTGCGACTTTCCAGACTGAGAAGATCTCAGGTTTGTAGCTGTGCTTTTCGCAAGTAGTGCCTGTGCTATTGTTCGCTAACGTGAAGTAAATGGCATTCTACAGATGATACATTTACTTTGAAATCTAGCAAGGGGCCCTGTGCCTTCGAGAGAGACGCCCTTGCTTGCGGACCTCACGTCATCACGCCAAGCGAGTTCACCGTATGTATATCTCGGGTTTTTGTGCAAGTTTATTATCCATGTTCTCACGCTGCATACAGGCCAAGGATGGTAAGCTTGCCTATAGTGATCACGCTACTTTCTATGCCGAGAATCCACCCAAGGGGCGTACACAGAGTAACGTGTATGCTTCGCAAGGGGGGCGACCTATTGAGATCGAGATCGCCTGGGTTTCAAAGTAGATGGGTTATCTTCACTGTTGATTCTCTCCCTATGCTTCTAGTGGAAAGTAGGTTGACCTACCGGGGTGTGATAGAGTTGCACAGAAATCCCGACATAGAATGAGGCGAGTGAACTGTCACTCATTGATTCTTATCGCTGAATTATTGTAACTATCATACAGAATTGCGCATTGTCTAGAGTCACATCTCTATATAAGTTATTCTATTCGTGAACAACCCTTTTTGTACTTCGAATGGATGCACATCGGCTGGTTTTAGGAGGATTCAGACTATTTGCTATCCTCTTGTTCGACTGTATGGCTCTTTGGTGAGGTCATCTCTTCCCCATGTTCCAACAATACCTACGATTCTACAACCAACATAGTAAGAAATAATGCGGAACGGGATGTGAGCGGTAGAAATAACAAGCTTGAAATAGTAGAGTACAGGCTATCGCCAATTATGTCTGTCTCTAAATGAAAATAAAATTGAGCAGGTCTTGTTGTTGACAGGATAGGTACAGAAAAGATTCATTGAAAGTAAGGACATCAAGTACACATCGCATCATGAAACATATAGAAGAAGTGTAAACACCTGGAATAAACAGGCTGCCGTGTATCGAACATCTTCAAGAAGATGAGATAAGGCCAAAAAGACGTCAACGTTGAAACTATCATTTGAAAAAACAAAAGAAAAAGCACGAAAAGAGAAATACAAGGGGAAACAAGGGCAAAGACGGCTGGCCAAAAGCGAATAGCCCAAACAATCCGCAAGTCCGCAAAGTCGTTTCGAATCCCGAAATGTGCAGAGAAAGAAAACGCCCGATTTTTTCGTGGGTCATTAAAGTGTACAAGGTCGTCCCATATCGTTGCAAAGAAGTCTCGCCGTGAATAAGCCGTGTCGTCTATGTCGCCGTGCTCTTTTTTTTTGGATAGCGAAAGCCGTTCAAGGGTCCACCAAGAACTCGTTGGACAAGCAATCAATTGGGTCTGTCAGGTCATCATCCATGTGGGGAAGATCAGAGAAAGTCTTCTCAGGGTAGTAGGATGAGACAGAGGCGAAGTCGGTTGTATCCACAAATTGATAAGTCGAGAAACCGGGGAGACCCGAGTGAGCGAGATGGCCGAACTCCTCGCGCAAGTCATCGGAGGAATCTTGAGTCATGAAGATATCGATCTCCGAGCCGAGGGATGATTCGGCCAGAGTAGGGGCCGAGGGGGGGGAAGACATCTCCCGAGGCGAGAGAGCAGATTCGCTGTAAAGAGATTCCTGCGAGTATGTCTGGGAACCGAAGTTCGATCCGTACTGAGCCATTGCCTGCTCGTATCTAGCGTGAGCGAGTTGGGGTGGTGATAAAGGCAGCATGTCATCCTCGAGCTGGGCATCGAGGGGATTGTAAGTCTGACACGGCGAGGAAATCGGGTGGCACCTGTGTCCGGGGGAAGTGGGCGGCGTGAAAGACGAGACGGCAGTGGATGGGCCATAGTTTGGCGAGTGGAATACGGGAGCATCTTGCAGAGTGGGCCGTGGCTGTGCTGAAGCGATTGAAGTGGACTTTTCAGCAACACGTTGACGAGTACGAGTGGACTTGGCTTGACGAGTGTCAATGTCTGGACGACTATTCTTCTTCTTCGGAGGGCGACCACGCTTAGTGGTCTTTGGTACCACACCGGTAAAGCCTCCAACACACATATCGCGCTGGCGGTGACGAGTCAGAGCATCTTGTCTAGCGAAGCTGGCGCCACAGGCACAGACGAAGGGCTTGTTGCCACTGTGCGTCTTGAGATGACGCTTCAGATCATGTCCGCGCACGAAGTGCTTTTCGCAAATGTCGCATTTGAATTGACGGTCTCCGAGATGTGTTTGGACGTGGGACTTGATGTTTTCCTTGCGACCAAAGCGGCAAAGGCAACCTGTAAATAGACAGACCCACTTTCCATCTTTGGGGTCGGGACCGGAGATGAACTTGGCGATCTCGTCGGTCGAAACACCAGTCTGCTGGACTGAGGCTTTGACCCGAGCATCAAGGTCATCATCGTAAGCAGCTGACTCGATGGGAGACGACACAGTAGACGGGGCTCGCTTCTTGATTCTGCCGGTGGAAGATGTAGCTGATACATTGGAATTTTGAGGCTTGATTCCATATGAAATTTGGGATGGCATATCAGGAACTTCAGTGAAGGGTGCGGTAATCGGGGAATTGACGGGGGAGGGCATTTGCTGTTTGATCTGCACGGAATTGACGTAGGGTAGTCCTTGGAAAGACTGGGCTCTTTGCATCTCAGCAGTAACAGGGTTTTGAGGAAAAGAGAAACTTTGGGACTTGGAAGGTGTTGGGTCATTGCTGTACATGGAATAATCAATAGATCTTTTCAATGGGGTAGAATCGGGGGTCAAGGGGGAGTTGTCTGCCATATGATCAGCCTCGGCCAGGTTAAATTGAAGAGGAAGATGCATACAAGCAGTAGACATTTGCGAAAGAATTTTCACAGACGGAGCCTTTGGTTGAACAGAGACTGGGTGCATTGGTCCGGCATAGGCCGTCACCTGCTCGTTTTGGATCACTGGGATGTTGCGCTGAGGAAACAATTCCCAATCGGGATTGCCAGTACATTGCTGATGTTGCTGGGTTGAGAATTGCTCTTGTTGCATGCGGTGCAGCGCAAGCTTCAATGGTGTGTTTTCGGAGCTTTCACTGGTTGATCGAGACAAGGCCGGGGCACCAACGGAGGAGGGCGCAGGGCTGCCAGTGGTGGTGTGGATCGCTTGCAATTGTTCTTGGTTGAAAGCCTGGCAGTCAGACCCGAGCGACTGTTGAGGTTGGTATTGATACGGCTGTTGTACGTGTATGCCTGATGGGATGAAAGACCGCTCGGGCTGCTGGGCATAGGATTGATACTGCTGTACATCACTTTGTTGATATGAGAAACCTGATTTTTCGTTAAAATAATCTCGCAGCTGCGAGACCGTCTTCGGCGTGTGTCGGTCCACGGGCTGTTGACTGAAAGAGCTGTAGTCCACAGTCTGGCCTCGACGATGTGACCGATGGGGTTGCATGTTGGTCATGACTAGCGCGGGCTGGTATGGAGCAACTGGTGTGGAGATTTGACGGCGGTGACGACCGTTTGCCAGCGCGTTGGAGTTCATGATTATGTCGACGGATGGGTCCTGATTGAGGTGTCAGTATGTGAAATTGAAAGCAATGGGCACTAGGAAGGAAAGTGGGAAGTTGTTAGAGCCTCAAGTGGAGGTATTGAAGAGTATCAAGTTCAAGGTCACACAGTTATAGATTCTGAACCGAACCTGGAGCAGAAACACGACTGTATGAATGGTTTCCAAGGTTTGGTTCTGGAACCCAGATCTATGCGAGACCCGTTCTCATCAACAAATTGGGGTGTTGGCATAGCAACGGCTTAGCCCGGGCGTCTGGGAAACCAAGGCTTTGACGAAAAGTGGGCCCACTCCCTTGCCCTTGGATTTTGATCCTTTTGATCATTGAGGCCTTGCGTAGAATTATTTCGACTTGTTCTGCAAGGGCAGCTAATCCCTGTAATAACGATGCATCGAAACGTACGTAGACCTATAAAATTGACAACTCCTCGGCTGGTTTCCGAGGAGATTCAACATAAACAAGTCGATCTCATACTCTATAGACCTTAGCTCCATAGAGTACCCATAGGGCGATGGCGATGGGCCAATAGGTCCCCATGGCGTCACCTCAATTTCTGATTTTCGACCTATCCAACACAGGATAAATTGCATGTGGCCTCAGGCATAAGTCTATGCACATCACTTCTAGTCACGTGCTGCAGTCTACATGCGGACCGACCTTTTTCCGATGGTTGCTCTCTCACCAGCACGTGACAGTGCCTAGTCAGCATGTTCCCATGCACTAGACTCATTTCGGCTAGGTGACCCACACACGTGACCGCACAACGATTTTAATCACCAACCGGCCTCCGAGCACAACGATCTTCTTTATTTGCAAGGTTGAGGAAGACACATCTGTCGAGGTGAGTTTTGATCCTATCCAAGCAGGTTAGAATGTGAAGAGCATGCGCAACTAGCATACAATCTATTCTTTACCTGTCTGCCACATTTAATGGCCGCGAGCTTCCCACTGACTTTTTTTTTCGCAGGCCTTCATCAAGATGCAGATCTTCGTCAAGACCCTTACGGGTAAGACTATCACCCTTGAGGTGGAGTCATCCGATACCATTGACAATGTCAAGTCCAAGATTCAGGGTAAGAACAACCTCAATCCGCGAAATCACACACAAACGAAACTCTTGAAAAGAAAAAAAAATCGACATAGGCTAACCCCTCACCAGACAAGGAGGGTATCCCCCCCGACCAACAGCGCCTGATCTTCGCTGGTAAGCAGCTCGAGGATGGCCGCACCCTTTCGGATTACAACATCCAGAAGGAGTCGACCCTTCACCTCGTCCTCCGCCTGCGTGGTGGTGGTAAGAAGCGCAAGAAGAAGGTCTACACCACCCCCAAGAAGATCAAGCACAAGCACAAGAAGACCAAGCTCGCCATCCTCAAGTACTACAAGGTTGACGGTGATGGAAAGATCGAGCGTCTTCGCCGCGAGTGCCCCGCTCCCGAGGTATGTCATCACTTCAAAACAATATCCCACGACGTCAATGATCAAAATATACTAATCTTATCTTCTAGTGTGGTGCCGGTGTCTTCATGGCCGCTATGCACAACCGCCAGTACTGCGGTAAGTGCCACCTCACCTACGTCTTCGATGAGGCCAAATAAATGGTCTAAGTCGGGCCGTGGTGTGCTGTTACCGAGCTTGGGCATAGTTTTCGCTAGGCTCGGGCAAGTGATGGAGTATCACGGTTGAGGTTGGTTGATGATGGTTCCTTGGTATACCCATGTGTGCTACAGTCAATACAAATAACAAAATAAAGGCATCCGCCGAAAAGTTGAAACTCCCACGTATTGTTAGACTTGTTTGTATTCGTAGGTTTGTACACTGTCATATTCCGTCTGGGTAAACCACTGTACTGCGAATGGTGATACACAAGGCCGAGCGTTCTCACCCAACCTACTGTTCCGGGATACCGGCTTGGATGTTGGCATACTTGCTCTCGGGGTACTCCAGGGCATTCTCTGACTGATCCAAAGCGTCTGCACCGCCCACACCGTCGACAAAGATGCCGATCAAGCTTCCCTCCGCGGGGTTAGCCTCCTTACCACCCTTATCACCGCTGCTTTCCCACCACATACCACCACCCAGTCCGCGCTCTTGAATGTAGTCCGCCTTGATCTGCGCCAAATACGGTGTATCATAAGAGACCATCGTGCGCGAACCGCCATCATAGCAATACGAGGAACCAGCTTCTTCATCAAACAGTTCCTGAGCGCCGGGTCTGGGCAGCGCCTTGTAATCCCACACCCCGTTCTCCCAACTGCCCTCTCCTACCCCGGAGAAGGGTGCGCCGGGTCCATCGGTGTTTTGAAATGCACGCCCGTAGAGTGGCATGCCCATGACGATCTTTGAACGTGGTACACCACCGTTGTTGATGTAGTAGTCTACGGCTGCGTTGATCGAGAAAGGTGTAGATGCAGGGTTGGAAGTTGATGGCGCGATGTTCGCTTGGTGGCCAGCGTTGGCGTCCCAGCTTCCGGCGAAGTCGTACGCCATGAGGTTATAGAAGTCTAGCACTGGGGTCATCTCCCGGAATTTAAGCTTCTCGTAGTTGCTCGCGCCTGTAACAATCAGTCTGGTGGCTCATGGTACTTTTTCATCGTCAAGGACATGGCACCAACATACCGGCAGGGCAAGCGATTGTCAAGTAGAAACGGCGATTCGGACCAGCCTCTCTGTCGAGAACCTTTTTCCTGTCAGTTGGCCCAATGCAAGTTGTCAGGGAACGACATACCTCTCGGCACTTCCGGAGCAACCGAACTAAGTTCTCGGCCTCGGCATCATCTGACCATATAATGAGCCCCGCACTGCCTTGGAGTGTATTCTGACAAACTCACCTTTGGGGTATTCCCAATCGATATCAAGACCTACCAAAAAGAAAGCGTCATAATAAGCATTGTGCATGGTACCTAGCCAATTAAACGTACCATCAAATCCCAGATCCAGAACCAGACGTGTCGCCGATTCGGCAAAAGTAGTCCGACCCTCCTCGGAGCTCGCAGGCTGCGCGAAATTGGCCGAGTACGTCCAGCCACCGATAGAGAGCAAGACCTTCAGCTTGCGGTTCTGCTTCTTGAGCAGGAAAAGCTGCTTGACGCATCCGTATACATTGTTACCGACGTCATTCCATGAGTCGGTTGGGTAATGCTTCTCAACATCGGACCAAGAGTCGGTCAAGTACCTGCACTTCCGGGTTAGAAAATGTTCGGCAGTCCATAAGGGCCAAGAGCAGGAGAAGGACTTACACTTCACCGCTTTCGGGACGAACGTTGGCGAATGCATAGAGGATGTGTGTGAGCTTCTTCGCGGGCAGATCCTGCGGGTTGTAGTTGCGGCCGTAAATTGCCTGCCGGATATGTCAACATTGGTGCTTTTTTCAGTGTGTAGATCCAGCCAGTCTAGACATAGTAGAATGGATGTGGACCATGCAGTCCAGGATGAAATGCAATGAGGTAAGCAAAATTAAGCACATACCCAGTTGACAAAATAGGCGACTGATCTGAATTCAGACATAGCTGATGTGGGATGAGTGGGACGGGGATGGTTGAAGTATTGCACGAGAATAGCCACAAGTAGGGCTGTAACTAAAGCAATGGGCTTAAGTCGATAAGCCACAGTTTCAAGTCAAAAAGAAAGTTCGATCCGATAGTTTCCAGCAAAAATCAAACCCCAAGAGGCAGCGTACAAGTATTTCTAAGATCCTTTACGTCGCAGCCTAATTGTGAGTGGACTGTACCTTGGCGTCTGGGTCACAGCAACGCCACAGCGTCATTGGGACTCACATGTGGCGGTGTGCGGATTAAGGCACCAAGACAACAATTGTGGCTGAGTATCGATCGAAAAAGATATCCGGCCAAGAAGACTGGAGACCAGTGAGTATCTGTGCGAAGAGAGAGAGAAAAAAAAAACTCTAGAAACGACCTACTTGGGAGACTCTAAGGATATTTACTAAATGCTCTGAAGGTTCTAAGAAAACGTGGTGCGTGACATCTCCGTTAGAAGGAGCATGTACCCTCTTGGCCAATCCCTAATATTTTTCACATAATAGCATGTCAACATCTTGCTTTTGACTTAATACTCTTTAGTTTTGTGGAAGCACAAGAGAGGAAATATCCAGTACTCGTGATGCTGGAGAATGCAACTTTAGGTAAGAATGCAACATGGCCCGCCGAGGAAAGGGAGAGCTATACTATATGGAGTCATGAGTGACTAGTCATGAGAACTCCTTGTTTATTACGTTGGTTGTTAAATTCAAGAGTAGATGCTCTTATGGTTGGAAGTACCTTGCACGATGCATGATTTACCAATGCTTTCATAACCCCTCGTGAGCGTGCTCTTTTCACCAGATGGAGCTTAACATTAGTTCCCGGAGCCCATCAATTTTTCGATCTATAAAAGCTTCGTCAGGCGACATACGCTCTCAAATTTGCCCTGTGGAATCGAGCATGGGTCGTACTCTTTCGGTAGTAGATCAACCATTGAACCCGTGGCAAGTGACAACCTTCTCAAGCCGAGAGGAATGTTCGGGGAAGCGGCAATCCTGGGGTAGTAATCTTGACAGGATAGCGAGTGATGTACAAAGATCGAGACTGCAGGTGAACTCAAAGCCTAACACTCTTCTTCCTGGTCATAACAAAACTCCTTGAATATATAGATCCGGGCTAGAGCAAGGAACAGTCGGTCTATGCATGGTTCCTAACTAAGCTTGGCCTCGGTGTATCCTATCCAGTTACCCTGTACTCCGTACTCCGTATTTATTTCCCTCTTTTCTTATGCTCTCCACTTGTTCACATGTGATAAATTCCAGAATCACTGTGTCCAAGTTATAAGTTGATGCATGATGCATGATGCAGGTAGTTCTACATTATGAACTGCTAGGTTCCTGATTTTCCACAAATCCAATTTTGGGCATGACAATCGGAGGTCGCCGAAGAATTTGACGATCGACAAAGCATCTTTATCCAATATGCCCCACCTCGTACTTAGACCTTTGATGCTGATTGATGTCGATCGTTAAGATCAGACAGACAGCTATTCCTGAGGGCCGTAACGGGCGGGAAGACACCAAGGGAAAAAGGTGTAGATAGGAAGTACTGCGACAGCGCATTGATGGTTTTAAGGGGAGAAACACAAAACGTGGGAATAGGAAACCCACTAACCTTGCCACTTAGAAGCCCAAAAAAATTAAAAAAAAAAATTTAGAAGAAATTGAAGAAAAAAAAACCCCCAAATTTAAAACTGTCACTTGAAAATCCAGTCCATAGCTGAATTCCGGCCCTGATATGGTCGTTCGTGCTGCTGATTGGATCTACGCAGCCGAACTAATGTTCTTAGTCTCGCAGGTCGGAAATCTCTACGGAGAAAAAGTTGATCCCCCGATCCACTTTGATCGGTGCAACGTTTTTTCTTGGCTCTTCAATTCAGTTGGATATACAATATACGGTGGATCTTTCAGCTGGCATCTCTGCCTCGGCGCCATAGGTGTTTGGTTCATGTGTCATTTGCCGATAGGGTTAATGAGACCTGTCTATTTCTAGTCTTTTACACATTCTCTAGAAGTAAATTTCAATCCCTTTGGACAAAGTAGAGACAGACGTTGTGTCGGATCATTGTGGGGCCATTAGGGCTATCATTCAATTTATGCAAGAGACCAACTACTATGCACATGCTTCTATGTATATTGCTCAGTGCATAGGATCTCTATGGATAGTGAGATCTAATCTTCTATATTCAACTGTGTTTCTCAGAGAAAATCGGAGGTATGCTTAAGAAAAAAAAAAATTTCAAAACAACTCAAACAGAAATACAATCCCCCCCCCCCCTCCAAACCAAGGGGGGATATCGTAATTGTAACCCAAACCGCGCAACAAATTCAAACTCAGTTGTCTTGTCGCAGAAGGCAGTGCTCACGACCAGCGCTAGATCTGCCATCCCACACAAGTTCCTCTATTAAAAGAATACAACGCCCAACGAGGCTCACAGGCACCCAGAAATCAGGAGACGGCAAAATCCGAAAAATGCTCCCAACCTCAACCCCACGAAACATGAATTCATTTCCATTTGCATTCTCATTTGAATTTCGTATCCCAATCACCAATTCGATTAGTGGCGTCCGATCCAGCGATGGATCGCCTCCAAGGACGGATCTTCGTCAAGCCAGTGGCCAGCGCGCAGATCAGCAGCTCGTAAGTCCGCCACGACATGCTGGTCCGTGAATCGAGCCAGATCCTGATGGAGAGTCGCAGTTGCGCTCTTCAATTGGACCGTGGGATTGGAGTCGCGTAGAACGCTGGCGCGCGTGATGGCCCATCGCCGGGCTGCGGCGGCGCGGAGATAGATCTTGTGCGCTTGGAAGCGGCGTGCGCTGCTGTCTAGTATGACTCTGTAGAGAGGCTATTAGCGTCTTGGCATGATTCGAGATTGGGAAGTTGAAGCGAATACCTCTGTAGCTCGGTTTTCTCGGTCTCGGCATCCCCCTGCCCTGTTACCGGGCATGGTTGGTAGTTGGCGGACATTAGGGTCTGGGCCGAGGCTAGGGACTCGCGAAGTACTACGAAGCCATCCTCCCAGTATTCTTCTTGGGATACCTCGACTTGCTGTTGTGAGATGTGAAGCAGGAGAGTGCGGTAGTCATTGATTATCTCGGCCACTCGCATAGCGCGGGCTTGGTTGACTACACGGTTATTAGTAGTTTGTTTTGGTGATTGGCCGACATGATTTGGGGTCAGCTTACATCCATCTGCCATGCTTCTGATAACTTTATGATACAAAAGGAGGGAAATTGATCAGAGGATGGAGCAGGAAGAAGGCAAAAAGCAAGAAAAACGAATGGATCAAAACAACCAATGAGCGATGAAAGAAAGGCAATATTCAGAGGAACCGATAGACGTGAGAATTGAGAATGTGAGGCCACCAACGGTTCCCGGGGGAGGGAGGAAAAGACGAAAGTTATAGGTCTTCAAGACTGGTCAAAGGTGTCTCTCTCTCTCCTGATCCCATACATGACAACCATTCCTCAATGGGTGGAGCAGAAAAGGAAAAAAAGCCTGAATTGTTACCAAATAATAATAATATGAAACACAAGGATTTATCAGCCCGCTACAGCGGAGCCGACGTCAGGATACATCATCACCAAGAGAACAAGCTGCACCAATAGACGGGCAAGAGCCCACGATCAGGGAGCTCGGGTTGTCGAACACAGCTGGGATGGGACCGGACCACACCACAAGCTCCCGAAAAACCGTTTACGGCATGACTGGGAATATCCCTGTCCCAGAGAGAGGGATCGGTGGAGAGAGAGAGAGAGAGAGAGAGAGACACGAAGGAA